AAACCCTGTCTCTACTAAAAATACAAAATAAGCCAGGCATGGTGGCGCATGCCTGTAATCCCAGCGACTTGGGAGGCTGAAGCAGGAGAATCGCTTGAACCCGGGAGGTGGAGGTTGCAGTGAGCCGAGATCGTGCCATTGCACTCCAGCGTGGGCAACAAGAGTGAAACTCAGTCTCAAAAACAAAACAAACAAACAAACAAAAAACCAAGAACAACAACAACAACAACAACAACAAAAAAAAAAAACAAGGAAAAGTCTGAGAAACTGTCACAGCCGAGAGGAGCTTAAGGTGACATGATGTTTAAATGTAATGTGGTGTCCTGGATGGGATCTTGGAACTGGGAAAGGACATTAGGTAAAAACTAAGGAAATCTGAATGAAGTATTAAGTAAAGCATGGACTTTGGTTAATAATAATGGATCAATATTGTCTCATTAATTGTCACAAATGCACCACACTCATGTGAGATGTTAACAATAGGGGAAACTGGATGTGAGGTTGATGGGAACTTTGTGTACAATTATCTTTGCAATTTTTCTGTACATCTAAAACTGCTCTGAAACAAAAAGGTTATTTTTTAAAAACTCGGCAAAAGGTTCATAAGAGCTAGGCTGAAAAATTACATCCTGCTACCAGGTACTATTTGTAATAACACAGGGATAAGTTCAAGCATGAAAAATAGGTACTATATTTAACTTCAGGTCATCAAAGTATCTTAGTTCCCTGCTTTGACAATTATTTAAGGTCAGATTCTGTATATCAATCTAATTAGGCCCAAATATTAGAGAGTATTCTAAGATAATCATATAACATAAATAATTAACAATACGTTTTCATGAGTTCTAATAAAGCTACTCAAACAAGATTTTGAAAGCTATCAAATTTTTTTAAAATAATTGAACCATAAAAATTCACTTACAGCAAACAACTGGCATGTATGTGTTCAACACTTCAGCATCTAAAAACTAAAAACACTTTATAGGGCTCATAACCCATCTCTTTTACTGTTTTTATTTTAATATATTTTTCCTATATAATTTTTGGATTTCAATATTACTGACAGATTCTTAACAGTATATTATTTGAATCATGAACTAAAATCTTCAAAAGAAAAGCAAAAAATAAAAATAAAAAATAAAAGCAATCTGTTAACAGTTTACAAATATTTTCATTGATGTCTCATTTGATTTTCACAACACTGTGATGTCGGGAGTGAGGGGAAGTATTCATGTTTCTCCATTATGTAATTAAGGAAACTCAGGTACAGAGAGGTTAAGCAAGGATAAGAGGTGAGCCGGATTTTCTGGTGCTAAATTTCATCCCTTTCCACTCTGTTACTTAATTTCCTCTTTGAGATTTGTTTCCTCTCTTCATGACTCTTTGGAGTTTGTGAGACCACCAACTCAGATACTGACCCACTGAAAAGTCACTAACACACTAATGGCTCTGGAAAGTGCCATTTCTTCAGGTTTCTTAAGCAGATAGATTAATTAGAGGCCATTTTGTCAAAATACAGAATAGGGAGTGAACAGAGGGACCTAGATGGGTGGAGTCTCCTCTCACCAGCCACTAAGTTACATCTTCTTTTGTGCCAGAGCTTAACAGCTCACTTGAGAATGCTAAATATCAACCTCCATTTGAGAAACACTTCAGTGGAATCTTCACTTGGCAAAACTAAAAGGGTTTTGGTTTTCATTTCTTTAAGGATATGTGTCATTGATGTTTGTGACTGATTCTAAAGAGCCAATTGAACTCTTAGGAAGCATCCAAGGATTAAGAATCTAGTGAATTTTTGATGAGTGATTGTTTAAAGTTTGAAAAAGTGCAGCTTCAGAGACTTCCAATTTACCAACAGTGTTGAGTATACTCCCCCATCTTTTTGGGGGCTGGATTCTGTGAATGGGAAAGTCTTTCTCAGCCCTTAAGATATATAATTGGAGCAGAAATGAGTGCCAAAGATCACAGTCCCAATCCTTCAACTTCTTTATGGCTCCACACAAATATAAAATGAGATCATTATTTTAAGAAGACTCCTGATAACATGTCTTCGCCAGAGCTGAGTTCTCAAGACATTTTTAGCTGTACCAGACTGACCCACTGTTTAAATTCAAAAATAACTGGGAAGAGAACTAAACCCAGAGCCAGGAGACTTGGGCCTAATAATGGCTCAATAACTCATCATTGGTGGTGGTGTGGATAATTCACTTAACCTCTATGAGTTTCACTTTCCCAATTGCAAAATTGGATTTGTAATAGTTTTGACCACTGCTAAGGGTTTTTGTGAACACTAAATGAGATATTTACATGAAACCTCTTTGCAAAGTGGAAGATGCTATATGAATACAGAAGTCATTAAGAATGGTCCCTGGGAAGACATTATTTTGAATGAATAAATCAGATGTTAGAAATTCTCTCTTATTTTAATGAGTTTCAGTCCATGATGCTTAGGGTAAGTTACTTACATTTCTAGCTACCATCTTCTTCACCTGGAAAACATGTTGCTTAGCATATAGTAGATGATCAATTAACATTTATTAAGCAAAAAGTGGGTAGTAGAAATATTTTCCTCTTATTTACCAGGGACTATGGCAAGATGATATACTAAAACAGATTGAATTCCTCTCCCTGTTACTGTGACTCTTTTTATTGCTACTATTCAGAACAACAGGATTATTATTATATTATTATTATTATTTGGAATAATAGGTTATTGTTCTTTTGCCCAAGCACACTTAAAACACTTCTAAATGACTTCCCATAGAAACTAGAAAAATCAAATGGCTTATTATTTGTCTGTTAGAGGATTCCAGAACCATGATAGTCAACTACAGCTTATTATTCATTATTTATATGTATATTGCTGCATTTAATTCTGTTCAGCACAACTGCATAAGTATCTAAATTAGTTTCAGGTTAATTGTAGAACATTTAATGAATGTTTCATATTATATCTAAATATTGAATGCAATATGTCAGCAATTACGCTGCAGTAGTATTTGCCCTGATGTGAGCTATAAGATCACAGGCCTGTCATCGTATTCAGTTACCGAAAAAGTGTGGACACTCTTGGGTTTCAGGAGAAGTATCAGGAATTATCTACAGTAGAGAAGCTACTCAAAGTTACGTAAAAAGAAAAACGCTCTTAGTCGCTTCTTGGAGGTAAAAAACAAAAACCAGACAACACCCCCCGCCCCACCACCACCACCACACACACACACACACACACACACACAACTTCAGCCTAGATGAATCTGCACATATTCATTCTGCCTCTGAGCTCTGTAATGGTTTATTCATTTTCACTTACTCACTCACTCACTCGCTCACTCGCTCACTTAACAAACATTTGTGGAGGACTTTCGGTGTGCAGAGTTTATACAAGGTGCTAGGATACAAAAGAAGCATGGCATCATTGCTGACCTTTTTGAGGCATCATGGACTAGCCAGGCAGCCACACAGTCAGCCCTCACACGATACCAACAGCCCTGGAGCTGTGGCATTGACACTGTGCTGGGAGAGAACAGGGAAGGAGTCATAAATTCTGCCTTTCAGGTAAGTGAGAAAGAGGAAGCAGGAAAGGGAAGAAAAGCAGGAAGAGGCATCTGAGCTATCTAGGTCTAAAAGGATGAGAAGGGTTTTGGGATTTTTGTTAAACAGAAATGGAGAAAGGTAGATGTTGCATATGAATCTGTTTTTTAAAGAAAGAGTCTGATTTTAAGTGCACCAGGAACTGCAAAGTAATTCCTACCCTCTCCCATCTTAAGCCAGCTCTTCTGTTAGCTTTACTAACAGGAGAGGCACTCTTATTTCTGAAAGACACCACTTCCTTTCCTCAGCTCCAAAAGCCAGCCATCTGTCCCAGGAGATTCAAGGAAACTGTGGGAAAAGCAAAACATGTTGGATGGAGCATGGGATGACTCAGTGAGCTGGCGATGAGACTGTGGGTGGGGAGGCTGAGCCTGAGGACAATGACTGATTCATCCACAGGTACTGCTGTCTCTCTATGCTACCATAGAGATAAAATTTGTGTAGTGAGCAAGGGCCACAAGTCTTTTGGTCGCTCTACCCATTTATAAATAAAAAGTTTTCCTTCCTAAAGAAAATTTACTTCTATTTTTAAGTCTCAGGTGCTCATGGTGGGAAGGGCTGGGAGAATCTAAGTCCTCCCTGCATGCCTTTCCCCTTCTTTTGGTAGCAGACCCTGATTTTTCCTTTGGGGAGGTATCATGCCCTAGCACTCAGTCACTATGAATCAGGTGAGGCTGATACCATCCCATCGCTCCAGAGAAGAACACATGACTCAGGCTTTGGCAAAGACAATGTTTCATTCCCTTGGCTACAGTGATTGCTTTAGGGGTAAGCATATGACCCAGGTTAGGCCAATCATACTCATCCTTGGGTGTCTGACTGAAACCATTTCTCTGTGGAAATTATTAAGCTGGCAAGAATAAGCCTGGAGCTTCTGAGAACCACCTTGCCGTCATGGTGGGCAGCCTGCCAGAGAATGAAGCCAACACAAAGAAAAATAGAACTGAGATATGAGAAGTGTATATTTCTAAGTTAGATATGAAATTTACATTTAAATTCCCATGAAAGTCCCCCATGGACTTAGCAGTTAGGTGGACTACACATTTCCATTTCTCTTTAGTTAGGCTGAATTAGCATTTTGCCACATTGCCAAAAGAGTTCTGATGAATATGGCCCTTATTGGAGACTCTTTCAACACTTTGCACACAGGATGCCCAACTGGCTGATTCCAAATGCTAATACTTTGAGGTTGTTGGTTATTATTCAGGGTTTGCAAGGTGGCTCTCCTCCATTCCCTAAAGGCCTCCCTCCATTTACCTCTCCTCCATTCCCTATTGGCCGCTAAGTCCTAAGTGGATATCAAAGACAAAGTTAATCCTGTATTTGTATAGTGCTTTCATTTTACAGTTCTACAGTTATTTCTCTCTCCTATTTTATTTTTATTTTTGGCAAGGAACAAAAACTCAAAGTAACTAACAAACAGTGGGTTTATTATATAAGAATGCAGAAGAATTGCACACCAAATGTAGGACATGTAGTTGAGCTTCATGAGAACTAGATAGTCACCAGAGGCTAATCTCACCATCTCTTTCTCTTTAGGAGTCCACATGACATCTGCCTGCTTCTCTCTACAAGGCAGCCTCATTCTTCTTTCTTCAGACCAGCTCTTCCGCTTGCTCGTTTGCCTGCACCCATCACGGCCACCCTAAAATGTAGTCTTGGACCCCAAGTCTCCATTAACTTCCAACTTGGTTCTCCAGGGCTAAATGACTCAGTATCTCAAGTTTTAAATTCCCATGAAAGAGAATCTGACTGGTTTAACCTTGCTCAGCTTTTCATGTGGGGTTTAAGCAGCTGTGGCCAGGCAAATGTAGTCTGTAAGGCTGCCTCTTTCCGGCTAGGGTTGGTGGTGGTGGATAGATTCTGTAAGCAGGGAAGAAAATTATAAGCATTTTCAGTGAAGACATTGTATCTCATTTGGTCCTCATATTTCTGAGAGGCAGAAATTATTATTATCCCTATTTTACATAAGATTTAGGATAAGCGGCTTGTCTTAGGCTATACAACTAGGAGGTGACAAATGTAGGATTTTAAACCCGAGACTTTTCACTTCAAATTGCAAGCGGTTTCCTCAGCACTGTTCTGTCAATGCGAAATTATATGGTCTCACTTTCTGGAGCATCACAAACATATCCAGTCTGGATTTTTAAGGATTTGTTTTAACAGCACTAACTTATGGTTTTAAATCAAACATTAGTAGTGATCCAGAAAGAAAAGGTTGAAGAAGAAAATCTGAACCATAGGTCTTGGATGAAGCACTGTTATCCATTAACGAAGAAGTGAGCAAGAGTGAAAATCCTGTTGGGAAAAGTTCAAAGGAAAAAGTAGTTGGTTAATGGAAGGCCTATGCTTGGGGCATGTGTGTGACTCACCGCCGCTGCAGGGGTTTCAGCGGTAGTTAAGACAGCTGGAGATTCAATTCCTAACTGATAAGTTTGAGTAGTAAATGCTGCCAATTGAATGATGGATCTTATCATAAAGTATTCTGTCTGGGTCTTCTGTAAATATGGACAGCCGAATCTCAGATTTATAGTTCATGCTCCCACAAACTCAGACTTTCCTACTCTGTTCCTTACTTCCCATCTTTCACTAGACTTAGAGTAGAGAGAGGAAAGCAAATGTTTAATACCATTACAAAATTATGCAATTTTTATAATTTTAATTCATACAAGTTGCAGAACTCGTCTCTAATGTGACCTACTCTGGAGGATTTATCCCGTTCCCCCATCCTGCCACTCTCAAATCCCACCTTAAATAGTTCTGATGTCCCCGAGGGTCCGTTCTTAGTTGTGATGTGACAGTTGCCATTCTCCTTTTCTCTTTTGTGGCTCCTTGGGGAATTATCTTTGGTCATACCATTAGCAAACTTAGTGGCTCACGCATTGACACTTACCGAAGATGTCACAAATAGCTGCTCAAGGTGCTGCTGTTACTGCCATTGGTGTCTGTGCCTTGGCAGCCTTAACCAAACCAGTGTTGAGGGCTCTCACTGTCACTGGAGGGCTGGGTCTAATGGTGTCAGGCCTCCATCTCAAGGGGGGCTGTGCTAAGCCAGTTCTTTGTTGGCAGCCTCCTCTTCCTAGGATTCAGCCTAAATTGAATTAATGCCACTTGATGTGAAAGTTGGGGTCTACTGTGTTATAAATATCTCCCTCCCAGAAGCTGCTTTTGTTCTAGAGTCAAGCTATTGGCCTCTACTTACTTCTCCTGGGATGAGCATTTTGGTTTTTCATGTACAAAGATCCTGGGAACTCACCTCATTTTCAGACATGCTTGAATCCTAGGTGAATATAGATTTTAGAACAAAGTATAAACAAATACATGTGAATATATGGGACAATTTCTGACAGATTTTCCAAGGTTATCAAATAGTGCTTTATATAATCCCACCTCTGAGGTAGAGTAAAACTAATTCATATTGGAAAAGCAACGTATCCAAGGACACATATGCTCTACTTTAGCTCCTGTGTTTCTGGGCTTAGAATCTTGGTGATCAGGGTCGTCCCAGGTAACGCTATGTCTTACACACAGAGAGTTTGTGCTCAGCAGCTAGACTTTCAAGGAGAGAGTGCTACTGTCCTTTTATAGACTCACTTTGTTTTTCTTTTGTGACAAGAGCCAAACCAACCAACCAGATAAAAAACTTAAAATACCACTATTCTAGAGGAGCAAACAAACCCAACTGGAATACTCCCCAGGTGAGACACTCTCCATCTGAAAGATTTTTCTCTCCCCTGACACATTTCTGCTCAGAACAGATCTCTGACCTTTGAAGTTTTTAGACCAATGCACAATTATTTAAGTCTGTGTGCTAATACTTCATTAATGGGTTTTAGTTTTTCATTCACATCTTAGTCATAGACTTTCTGGAACAGCCTGTTTCTTAATTTAGAATATCTACTTAAAGCACTTTTGAAATGCAAAGTTTTTTTTTGTAAATAGTGGTTCCCAAGTGGATTCATTTTGTTTCTATTACGACACTGACAGGTTATTAAAATCTATATGTTTAGATGTTCGATGGTTAATTTTTTGATCAGGGGAATGGAAAGTGGAGAAAATAACTGGTGAAAAGAAGGAACAATAATTGTGTGTGTGTATGTCTGTCTGTGTGTGTGTCTGTATGTGTGTGTGTATTGTGTCTATGCATGTAAAATGAAGTTGAGCTAGCCACAAGTCCAGCAGTTCTTACATTCTATCTATCCAGTCCCTCGTATCCTAACAGGTTCATAATTGTATTAAAAGGGCCTTTGGCAGTTAGGAAGCTGATAGTGTTCAAGTCTGTGTAAGGGGTATTTGTGAAGAACCTGTGACGTGTCTCTCATATGAAACAGGGATGTAATCAAGATAAATTTATAATAAGGCATCTTCCTACTCTGAGTTGCTACCTTTAACTGTTGATCCCAGGCACTCTGAGCTGGAAAGATTAAAATTCACCTCAACTCCACTTTGGCTGCTGATGTGGTTTGGGTGTCCCTGCCCAAATCTCATGTTGAATTATAATTCCCAGTGTTGGAGGTGGGGCCTGGTGGGAGGTGATTGAATCACGGGGGTGGTGCTTCATGAATGGTTCAGCACCATCCCCTTGGTACTGTACTAGTGATAGAGTTCTCATGAGATCTAGTTATTTAAAAGTGTGTGGCACCACCCCCTCCCTTCCTCCTGCTCTGGCCATGTAAGATGCCTGTCCCCATTTGCCTGCTGCCATGATTGGACACTTCCTGAGGCCTTCCCGGAAGCAGAGGCTGCTTTGCTTCTTGTACAGCCTGCAAAATTGTGAGCCCATTAAACCTCTTTTCTTTATAAATTACCCAGTGTTAAGTATTTATTTATAGCAGTGCAAGAATGGACTAATATAGCTGTTAATTACATTCAGTCTCAAATTTAACAATCTTTCCCAGGACTGAGACAGCTTTGTATATGTAAGTGTGTTAGTCGTTCATTCTCACGTTGCTATAAGGACATACCTGAGACTGGGTAATTTATAAAGAAAAGAGGTTTAATTGACTCACAGTTCCACATGGCTGGGGAGGCCTCAGGAAACTTACAAGCATGGCAGAAGGGGAAGCCAAGATGTCCTTCTTCACAAGGGGGCAGGAGAGAGAGGTGCTGAGCAAAGGGGGAAAAGCCATTTATAAAAACTATCAGATTTCACAAGAACTCACTCACTATCACGAGAACAGCATGAGGGTACCCCCCCCATGATTCAATTAGCTCCCACCAGGTCCCTCCCACCACACGTGGGGATTATGGAAACTACAAAAGATGAGATATGGCTGGGGACACAGCCAAACCATATCAGTAGGCTTGCATTTTATTGGTTCTCCTCCCTTGAAAACAAGGGGTTTTATAAGGCAATGACTTTCTCAAGTGGTCCATTCCCGAGCAAAGGGAACTGCTCTCCAGGAATAACCCATTCGGCCACATGATGGGCATCTGCTCCCCAATACCTAGGGAGCCCATCAGGACCCAGGGAAAGAGGATTATGCAAAACTCTGAGAGGGGCCCATTTCTTTAGATTTGGCCATGATGTATTTCCTTGGCAGAATATGAAAAGAGTCCAAAATTCCAACACACTGCATTTGTTTGGCTCTTTAGCACAGAGCTTCTCAAATGTTAATGTGCACACAATCACCTGGTGATCTTGTGGAAATGCAGACTCTATTTCAGTGGGTCTGGGGTGGGGCCTGAGAATGTGCCTTTCCAACAAAGACCTGGATGCTGTTGATGCTGCTGGCATGAGACCACACCCTGAGGAGCAGGACTTTCCAGTTTGGCAAGCGTTTTCCTATATCATCCCACTCAGTCCTCAGGACAAGCCTGTGAGGTACTTGACACATCCCCACTTCCAGCAGTAGAGGCAGGTTCCATGAGGTAAACAGACTTGCTTAGGGTTGCACAGCAGGTATGACTTTCGCTCAGACATCTGAATCCAAGTCCTGTGATTTTTCTCCCACACAACTGTGCCTCCTCCACGTACATCTTGGCCCATAACGTTTCTCAGGGAGATGCTCCAAATCAGGGTTTTTGTTTTCAGAAAGCTTGTTCATCAGCACACCACTGCATTTTTCCCCCATTCCTCATATCTTGTTAGATGGGTTCTTTTATGTTGCTTGTCAGTCTGTTTAGGTGGTGATTGTCATCCAACATACTTGCTATCCCTCTCCACTTTATACTATCCACAAATAGGTATAAAATGTCTAGTTTCTCTTATTTGAATTATAAATACAGGTTTTTCATCCATGTTTGAAGGCTCGAGTATTGATGGATACACAGAGGACTAATCTCTGGGAAGTAATACAGGCAGTATATATAGAGTCGGAGTAAGAGATTAAACATCTCATTGATAATGATCAGGTAACAAAGTGGGAGTCATTATTGTTAGGCAGGAATCTAGACCCAACATGGTGGTATCACCGGGCATGGCAGGCCCTTTGTTAGGACTCCCCACCCTTCACTTCCTGCTAAGATTCTCAGGGCGTGAAAAAAGCCCGCGCCCGCCAAAAAACCCCCGCCCTGCACAAGCTCCTGGACACGTCATTCCTCAGAAACCGAAACTTACAAACCCCGCCTACCTCTCCCTATAAAAGGCCCCCCGATACCCGCCCCCAGCGCGACTTCCTCGGCCCTCCTCCTAGGGGACCGGTGAACCTCGCTGGGGAGCCCAATAAAGGCTACCTCTGTTCTCATCTGCCTCATGTCTTCTTGCTCGGCTCCCCATTACATTACAATTATAATACCATAAGCTGGAAGTTGACAAACACATAGTGGAAAAACACATGAATTCTGGAGTTTTGAATCCTGGTTCTGCCTGACCAAATGTGTGATGTGGGGCTAGTTACCCAACCTCTCTGTGCTTTGATTTCCTTGTATATTAAAAGGAGATAACATGTTTTTTTGTGACTACATTTTATTAATTCACAACAGTCCCCCACATATATTAAGTGTTCAGTAAGTATCAGTGCCTATCCTTATTACCAATCAGATAGTCCAATCTACTCATTTTTAATTTTTGAGACAGGATCTCACTGTGTCACTCAGGCTAGAGTGCAGTGGCGGGATCTTGGCTCACTGTAGCCTTGACTTCCCAGGCTCCAGTGATTCTCCCACCTCAGCCTCCTTAGTAGCTGGGACCACAGGTGTGTGCTGGGTAATTTTTGTAATTTTGGTGGAGACGGGGTTTGGTTGAGTTGCCCAGACTGGTCTCAAACTCCTGAGCTCAAGTGATCCACCCACCTCGGCCTTCCAAAGTGCTGGGATTACAGGATTACTGCACCTGGCCAATCTCCTTACCTTTAATATGGAGCCAGAGAGTCCCAAAAAGCTCAAGTGATTTCAACATTCATTAACCAACAATTATGGAGCTTTCACTATGTGGCAGATATTTACTAGTTGCTGACTAGGCAAATGTTTTAAGTTGGGAAGTAGTAGAGCTGATAACTGAACACAAACCCTCTGGTTTCTATTCTATTATGATAAGAGTGAGTGTATGTCTCCACACTCACTGCCACTCTTGATCTGCAATTGTTCTCTGATATTTCCGACAGTTCCAACGGCAGCATTGCCTTTAACTCCATTGACCCTAGTAGCCATCGAACTTTATCTTCTTTTCCCGTTTGTCCCAGAAGGATCCTGGGAGTGTGGAATGAAAGACAAATAGCCTTAAGCTGAGCCCTAAGTGCCCTAGATTGGCTAAAGAGATGGGTCTGGAGGTCAGGAGTGCTCTTGAGCCCCAGGGCTTACTGATGCTCTTCCCAGGTCTGAGTTTCTAACCCCACCCAGAGATTGTTGGTTTGACAATCAGCATAGTTCACCTGGCTGCACTTAGCGTTATTGGCATTTCTGTCCTCAAGAACAGCAAGGAATTTGGTTACCCTGGGCCGGGGGTGGGGCACTAGTTAGCAGCTGCCCCTCCTGCTCCTTATGTGGCTCTATTTCAACAAGACTTGAAAATCTTTGTCTTCAGAGAACCCTCCGGCTCTGAGCTTCGGTGATTTTGTTTGGAGAAACCTCTTCTTGTAGTTGTAGTTTCAGGTAAGGCATCTGATGTGTAACTAAAGGATAAACACAGAGAGAAATAAAAATCTTTTATTACTTACATGAAGTATGTGCAAATGATAAAAAGTGCAAATGAATTTGAGAGAGGAATTGTGCAAGCCCTTAGGGGGCTATTACTTGTCTTTAAAAACCAAGAGTTGCTTAACATTTTGCTACTTTGTATTTTCGTCTTCATTTAGAACATAAATTTATGGTGATTGCTGGCAGTTTAAGGAGTATCTTCTCTTAATAACTAAGCTTTTTATTACAAATGTTCGAATCTTCCTGCAAATTATTCTGATATTATTACACATCTTCCTCCTTCAACAATACTATCAATAATACTATTATAATACCTCCTGTGTGTGAAGCCTGTGTGTGCAGAAAACCCAAAAATGTTAAGAATAAACTTTTATATTTACTCTAGGCCAAGGTAATTTGCTGCCCCAGATACAGTGTTTTGGGATTGCATGGGATAAAGGACTCCAAATTGCAAGGTATGCAAGATAGAAGACATTATGGTTCTTTGCTTTTAAACAAGAAATATGACATTTGTAATATTAACTTCCCAATGTATTGATTTGTGGAGCTGGACAATGTTCAACTTAAAAAACTTGTTTTATCAGAAGAATGCATGCACATGGTTTCAGATGTTGAATAGGACTAGTAATCTTATTGATGAAACTATAGTTCTCTCATGCATACCCTTCCACTCTCCACTGATAGCTATTTTCTTTTCTTTTCTTTTCTTTTCTTTTCTTTTCTTTTCTTTTTCTGTTTTTGAGACGGAGTCTTGCACTTTCGCCCAGGCAGGAGTGCAGTGGCGCAATCGTGGCTCACTGCAAGCCCCGCCTCCCGGGTTCACACCATTCTCCTGCCTCAGCCTCCAGAGTAACTGAGACTACAGGCGCCCGCCCCCATGCCCGGTGGAGACGGGGTTTAGTAGAGACGGGGTTTCACCATGTTAGACAGGATGGTCTTGATCTCCTGACCTTGTGATCCACCCACCTCGGCCTCCCAAAGTGCTGGGATTACAGGCATGAGCCACCGCGCCCGGCACATTGATAGCTATTTTCTACTGTTTCAGCTCTTTATTCTTGCACCAGCTCCATAGTTCTAAATAATATGCATATGCTGCTATTGTTTATCAATTTTAGATATTGAAGTAAATGAGGATTTTAGCTCATCTACCTCCTACCCCATCCTTCAATATAGTTATATGAAAATTCTCTAACAATTCATATTTTATGCTTTCATTATTCTGACTTTATAAATATTATTCATAGCTGAGTTTAGCAGTATGATTATATTTTCTGTAAATACTTGTTATGGTTGTTATTATTTTCTGGGCTCTGTTTCCTGCTGCTGTTGAAACATTTTCTATCAGGCACAATCACTTCACTAGGCTGATGACCGGAATTTGCCAGGCACTGTGGTTGGCGGATGTCTGCACTACCTGCACCTCTTCTGGCAGCACGTTTTTCTAGATTGATTCCCTCTGGCATCCACCCAACCCCACTGAGCAGCAGAGTGTGAGGCGCCGCCATAGCCCAAGATTCATAAGTAAGGTTTAGAGATGGCAAGAAGGAAGAGCAACGTAATTAAAGGCAAGAGACAAGCTTGAGCATGGGATTGTCTAGAAAGAGTTTTCTGAGATCTTTAGATGTTGTGTGCTGTAGAATCTTACCATTGGGTGGATGTGGGCACCAAGTTAAGTGATAGCTTTAGAATCACAGTTGAGGTTTCTATTTTCTTTGTAAATAGGCCATGAACATTTGTGCAACCTAGAAATTGATTTCATTCAGAAATACAGTATTTGACTCACAAAACTTGGAATCATCCACCACATGTTTAGCCATTGGACCCCCTTTGGCTGTGTCCTCCTCTTGTCTTTTTCTTGTCACTAGTTGAGAAAGGTCAAATGCCTGCCAGCAGTTTCACTCCAGCCTGTACTGCAAATCCTCAGAAGACTCAAGCTCAAAGGGAATCAAAGCGTGCACACACACACACACAAACACACAACGGAAGAACCAAGCACAAAAGGAATCAAAGCAAGTGCAAACACACACACACACTGGTCTTCTCTGGATTTTTATTTAACCGTCTCTGATTCTATTAAGACCTTACGTACACACATCAGAGCATATTAAACTTTGAGATGGGGATATATGAGAAGACATTGCTTGATAAATGTTATTTGCTAGACTTTATTTTTAATTCCTGTCTATGAGAATGAGAACCACTTCAGAATCCTCCTTTTTCTGATTCTTTGTGGCTAGAGAAATAGAAGAGGTAATAAAAGATGAAAGTATTGGCAGGGATGGGGTGATGGCAAGCTTGGAGAAGACCATCCCTGTTGCATTTTTACTTTCAAACTCTGGATATGGAAAAAAACATCATTTATAATAAAGCAAGTTCACTAGATCATAAGCCAAGAATATGAATAGAAAAATGCTGGTAAGTAATTTTAATAAAAACTGAAGTCCCTGTTTCAGTTTTCCTGTTTTTTATGCCTCTAGGAATGGGAATAATACTCAAAATATTTACAAAATTGTCAGGCTTCTCATGGTCAATGAAGGGAGACTCCTAGACTTTCTTCCAGACTTGTTACTGGTATTTAGTCCATTAGAGCATGGATTAGGATTTTCTTCTTAAAACTTTTACTTTAAAGGCATGATTTACAAGTAGGAAAAACAAATCCTAGACGTGTATTCAAATCTTGAATAAATGGAAAAAGAAATGTTTGACTAATTATTGGAATTAATATATTTCAAGATAGAATTTGTGATACATAAACCAAATGGAAATGGTATACAGAAGATCCAAAGATCAAAAATTTGTGAGTGTTTAGCATTGTTCTTATGAGAAGATGTTAATAAGCTGGCATTATAAGCATTGGGTCCACTTAGCAGGTGTATCAATAAACCTGGAGATTGATACCTCAGCATATCAATCTGATGCATGGATCTTGTTTTTAACTCTACTTGCCCCTAATCTATATTTGTTAGGAAAACTTCATGTTGTAATCTGGCTTTCCATATACAGTTTCTATAGGGAGCAGGTATTTGATCAGCTGACATGAACATCCCAATCAGCTTGGTAGCTTTGGTTCTCACTGTGAATGAACTAGATTTTGGTTTGGGTACCACATTCTAGAGATGTGGACCTGCATAAGCCCAGTCATCAGAGAACTGGCATGTTCTGGTGTACTAACAAAATCAAATTAGCTTTCAAATTTGAGGTGATCCAACTAGCTTACTCCCTTTTCTCCCTGCAGGTCTGTTTCTGCATTTGCAGAGCCCCAGATAAAAATACAAATGAAAAGGTCGGGCCTGTGTCTTATCCTTATTCTCTTTCCACTGATGGCTCTAACCTTTACATCAGGGGTTTGTGAGCATGCATGAAGACCTCCAGCCACCAAGTCCAAGCTCTGTCCTAGTTCCTGCCTGCCCAAAAGCCACCCATTGACCACCTCTTGGCTCTAGGGGTCCATATATGGCAATGGCTGCCCCTGGGAGGAAAGACCCTAGGAGGGCCAAGCAGGACCTGGCACTCACTACAGGCCATTTGGCGAGGATGGTCTGGGGGTGAGGGGTCGACCTTAGGGTGGACAAATCTTTTTGGCTCTATGGACTTTTCACCCTGTGGAGAGGAGATTAGCCAGAGCAAAGCCAGGTTGGGGCTCAAGGCAAGGGACCTGGTTGCTCAGCTCTAACAATGATACTGCCCACTTGATTCCCCCTTCCCCACTCCAAAGACATGCAGGAGTGACCATATTACCTCTTGGGATGACCTCTCTACCTCCGCTATCAAAAACTGCAATTGTTTCTAACAGAATTTATTTTGCCAAATTGTAGTCTAAGGGGGATCTGACTCAAGCCTGTGGACCATAAACAAAAAAGTATCTTGTCTGAAATCACTCTCCAGAGAACTGAGAGTAATTCTGGGGCTCTCTATTAACATTTGTAAAGCTTTCTCATATGCCAGTCCAGAGTCACAGACTCTTAATTATAGGGTCAAAGACAGAAAAGGCTTTACTTAACTGCTAATGAAAGTCCTTAATCCGAATGAACCTGAACTATTTAGCCCAGGAAAATTCGTGCACAGTATCAGCAAATGATATTCAAATAACTTTAAAATGATCGAGTCTTCCAGAGTTTTGTGCTTGGCTCACGGAAACAAGAATTTGAAAGGAACAAAATGGAATTCACTTGCTTATAAATGTGCTTTGGGGCAAAATGGTTGCAAAAGCGACCACATTTTGTTTCAAGAGATTTCTCTGCACACACACTCCATCCAGCCTAGCATACAGAACAAAGTCACAGAGCTGCATTAACTGTGGCACAGAAAATGATTTTCATCTATACAGCCAACTGGTCTATCATATATATATTATAAAGGGGCGTTGAAGGGGAGGAAGAGAAAAGCATAAAACATAATGACACAGAGCAATTTCATGCAATTCCTTGATAGGAGATGCCTTAAAGTTAAAAGGATGGGAAATCAATATTTGCAGAGTTCTGGGTGAGATGAAAGGTTGGCTCTTTCTGATAATATTGAAATGGCTGAAGACGTGTGGCCAGGGGAAGGACTGGCCTCCTTGGCTGTTCATTCCATTTTATTTTATGTCAATCATTTATTCAACCAGTATTTAAATATCTGTTCTATGTAAGGTATCATTCAACAGGATACCATTTCTATGAATTATTTTCCTTCACTTCCTTTCTTATCATTTCTTCTATATCCCTCTTCAACTCTATCACTGGGCAGGTAGTATAACGTAACAGTTAACTACTCAAGCTCTGTAATCTTGGGGAAGTTATTTTACATTTCTGAATCTTGGTTTCTTCATCTGTAAAATAGGCATAGTAATAGTGTCTACTTTACACTAGTGACTTGGCAAACACTAAACTCCCAATAAATGTTAAATATGAATAATATTATGAAAAAGATGATAATAACTTGCTTTATAGACAGAGATAATTTAGAAGCCACCTTTGGGAAAAATAACATCCACCAGAAGTGAATCTAGGATGTTTGTACCTTCCAACATTCTGTATTTCTTGAGCATGAAGGAACCACCAACATTGATTGACCAGGTACTATGCAAAGATATAAGTAAAGATTTTTGAAT